ACATTTGGACAGAGGAAAATCGTGGTAGTTGCACAACATAGAGTGTCACCCTGACCATGATGTATTGTGGCAAGACATCTTCTTGTAGCCTTACAGTGGTGACATGTCCCCTCTCTCAAACACTCCACTCAAATGTTGTCTAAAAAAAAAAAAAAAAAAACAAAAAATAATAAAAATGCTGTGTCACAGAAGGTGAAGTCTGGCATGAGTCAAGAGCAAGAAGATTCATTGCATCTTTTTGAGAAAAACTCTCTTCTCTCACTCCCAAAGCAAGTCCTAACAAGCTGTGTTTGTTCTCTCATGACCTCACCCAACCAACCAAAGAAAAACGTCCCAACAATACCAATACCGAGCCGACTCAATCACCAAGGCAAGCCAACAATCCCCTCCATTCTCACCCAACACCACCACCACCACCACCGTCACGGCCCAAAAAAAAGGAAGGTATATAATAAGAACCCAGCCAAGATGATTTTCTAAACAAAGCAATAGAAAAGCCGCTGCTCTACAAAGAAAAGGAAAGAAAAGAAGAAGAAGAAGAAGAAGAATTGAACAAGAAGAGATCACCGATCGGTCCATTGATCGATAATTTTGCGACTGCCCGACCCACTGAGAGAATTCGAGTTGGCGGTAGAAGAGGGATTAGGGGGAGGGATATTAGAGTGGCCAGGCGAGCCAGGCTCGGAGGAGTCAGTGGAAGGTCTATGAGGGGCCTTGATTGAATGGTTGAGATGGTAATGATTAGGGTGATGATGGTGGTGAAGGGAGTAAGGATGATGATGATGATGTTGTTGTTGTGGCTCTTGAGTCCCTGGAGAGGAAGAAGAAAATGCCTGTGAGTGGATGAGGTGATGATGATGATGGGGCTGATGAAGGAGCGGTTGCTTTGGGTGCTGTTGATCGCGCAGTTGTTGTTGCTGGTAATGCTGCTGCTGATATTGTTTCTCCCGTTGCTGCTGCTGCTGTTGTGGCTGTTGCTGTTGCTGTTGTTGCTGTTGTTGCTGCTGTTGCTGCTGTTGTTGTTGCTGCTGATGCTGATGATGCTGATGTTGCTGATGTTGCTGCTGCTGCTGCTGATGATGCTGTTGCTGCTGCTGGTGATGGTGTTGCTGCTGCTGTTGGTGATGCTGATGCTGTTGGTTCCAGCCCGGCTTACGATCGGGCCCAGGATCGAAGCTAGGAGGAAGGTGGAGATTAGGAGGAGGGGAAGTATGCCAAGAAGAGGAGAGCTGAGTGGGCTCAGGAGGGGGGAGATGGTGACTAAGTCGATTGTGGGTGTTGAGAGAAGAAGGAATAGGAGGCAGCCGATTATTAGAGAACCGGTTACCGAGGCCGGGAGAATGAGTAGCGAACGAGCCGGCCGACGGGAGCGGTCCACGAGTGGAAGAGGGTGAGCGGAGCACAGAGCCGCTCCTGTGACGTTGCTGCTGTTGCTGCTGTTGCTGAGAGGAAGAGGAAGATGCAGAGGATTGGGATCCTGCGGGATGCGGAGGGTATCCTAAGGACAGATGAGGATGGCCCGGGCGAGGGGAGGTGGAATGGGAGGGGGTGGAGAAGTGAGGAAGGTTTGGGGGACGGGGGGATTGGGAGGAGGAGGTTGGGGGTAGAGGAGGTTGGACGAGCGAGGAAAGTGTCGATGTCGAGGGCACTGAGTGTGGAGGCGGCGGTGGATAGTATTCGGAGTAGTGCGGCCGATCATGCCCGGGGAACCCACGCTCGTACTTCATCTGATAAGACAGAGAGCTCCTGCTGGCGCCAGTCATCGCCTTGGAGGAGGGGTCGGGCTCGGGGAGGCCACGAGTGGACATCCTGTTGGCGTAAACACCTGCGGAGGGCGAGCCGGGTGAACTAGGTGGATCGGCAAACCGTTCATCGATATTCATCCCTTCAAACTGTCGGCCGGGAAGATAGTCATTCGGAGGAGGAGGAGCGGGGGAGAATTCGGGTGGATTATGCGCTAGTCGATGCGAAGGGGGTAGGCTAGAGCTGCTCGGTTGCTGGGCAAGACTTGCATGGCTAGATGGACGGGAGAGTGGGCGAGACAAAGGGCGAGGTAGGGCTTGAAAAGAAGGCTGGGATAACGGTTGGGACAGTGGTCTTGGAAGTGTTGTTGATGGGTGGTAATAATGACCTGCAGGGGGTGGCAGGAGTGTCCGGTCCACCGGGGGCAGCTTCAGCGGTGGCTTAGCTGGGCTAGGTTCAGGGATCTCTTCGGTCGGCGTCGGATCTTGCGAGTCGTTCCCAAACCAGGCGCTTGCATCCATATTCGACATTGTTACAGAAAGCTCAACCGGATCGTCGTTCAACAGATTCTTAATTTGCATCGACGACCTGATTACCGGGGCTGCTTCGGGTACCTTGGGTTGTGCATTTTTGGCCTCCGGTTCGTCAACGTCCATTGCAACTGGTGTTGTTGAAGAACAAATCTGCTGCTCGAATAATAGATAAAAAAAATAAAGGCAAGGATTCAGAAAATATTTCTCAGCGAGAGTGTTATTTTTTGAGGGTTGAAGAACTGGATGACCAACCTCGAGCCCAGTGGCTTGGCGGGATCCAAGGAGGCCGTTGGTCTTATTAGGAACCCGATCACTTTCATTAGGTGGAGGATGGGCGGAAACAAAATTTTCTGAAGAATTGTCATAGCCAGAAGATGTAATAGTATTCAAAGTGCGAGCATCAGGTCTAGAGGGAGGAGTGGGATCCACTAGAATCGGCGGTTCTGCTGGCGGTACTGGACGACTACTGCTACTGTCGATCGCGTGTACTTTTCGTTTCTTGTAAGCCCGAGGCGGCAATTTTGGTGGATGTGGAGTTGGTGGATCTGCAGCTTGTTGTTGTCCGTTAATTTTGGGTGGAAGTGATGCAGCAGAGGAAGCTGGATTCGAATCGACTGATTTCAGCGGAGTATTCTCGGATGAAGTTTTGTTCTTGGGGGCGCTTGATGGATTGTATTCAGTCGATCGAGTGGAAATGTTGTTGAGCTCAGCACGAGCACTAGATATGATCAAGTTTTTCTCGGAGGAGTCCACCATCGACTGGGGTGCTGAGGGTCCTGAGAAACTTGAGGTGGCTGGATTCCGATGAGTTGATGATGTGACTAGATTGGTGTTAGTTGTAGAAAGGTCAGTTTCGCTGGCCTGGTTGGTTTGGATCGAGCGATTATCGAACGACATCCGACGCAGATCGGCATTCAGACGATCTTCCGTATGATTACTACTGAGATTATTGAGTGATGATGATGATGATGGGTCTGGAGCGATAGATGTTTTGGGTGTCGGTTCAGACTGATAGACCGATTCGTCATCCGGTTCATCTCCGGGTGGTGGGACGAGATCTGAGATGGTCGACTTGGTTGTTTTGGGTTTGAGTGAGGAGGGGGTAGGAGGATCAGCTGTAGTAGGTGTTTTGCATGGGCCCCTCCGAGCGCGTTTACCACGAAGTTCACGAGGTTTACCTTCGACGACCGGCTGAGGGGGTAGGTGGAGGTTACGATACTTATTCTCTCGTTTGGTGCGGTAGTAGTGAATCACACATTCTGCTCGATTCTTAGTCTTGACCTGAGAAGCAATCCATCCGAATTGTTTAGGTTGAGCGGTATAACTCTTCTCGAAAGCTTCTTGTTCTTGAATGGTCCAAGTTGATGGTTCTGGGTTTGGGTCCCTATCGGGTTGGCTAAGTTCGTAGAAGCTGATGGGATCGGTGACCAGGGTATCGTTCTCATCATCTGAGATTGAGATGAGTCGATGGTTGGGTAGGAGAGCCATATCTGGGACGTTTGCGGTAGTTTTCATTGCTCTGATATTGGGGTCCTTCTGATCAGCCGTACCGAGTTGAGCGAGTACGAGATCGAACTGGGCGTCGGTGACAGCATCTCCTATTCCGAAGGTGCTAAAGTTGGCCGTCCGACGGGTCGTCCGACCAGTGGCCGTCAAGGAGCTCGTGATCCCAGCCGAATTGGATGATTGATTTCCACCGCCATTGGTTGTACTTCCGACTGATTCGCTGACAGGTATTCCAGCAGAGATGTCTGCGCTCGTCGTGACTGGGGTCAGCGTTGGTCGTTTCTTTCGAGTTAGTCGGAGCCGGAGCCGGTCCATCGCCTCGCAGTGTTCAATCCATTCTAGATGGTAGGTTCGGTAGACCGCCCTGAGATTTTGGACAAGCCCATCTAATTTCTTCTGCTCCTCCTCCTGTTCGCCATCGGTTGTCGTTGTAGCCCCCTGATTTTGATCTGTTTGTTGTGGTTGTTTGGAAGTGGTTGCTGTGCCATCCTGATGCTGGGACATCATGTCAATGTTCCAGTGGGGATGCTTTTTCGATTGTTGGGCTCCTTGCTGTCGAACGAGATGTTGGAAATAGTCTGTAGTTTCATGAGCTTGCTATCTTTCGGTTTGTTGGTATAGTTGCCCTAGTTGGTTTTCTTGAGTTGGTGCTTGTTCATTGGGGGTAGATTCTTGATTGCTGTTGACCATCTGGGGTAATCTGGATTCTGCAGGGGCTGTCTATCATCTATCTGTGACATTTGTACAGGGGCAGCGAAGAGCGGTGAAAGATCAATGACATCCGCATACATCTTCGGCAACTCACAAAAAAATTCAAGCAAGATTGTGGTCAAACTTGCTCCACACATATTCAACAGTTCGAGACTAAAATAGAAGATAAGCATGGTCAGCATTAACACTCTCCTTCAAATCAGACAGACAGATCTCTGACCTCAGCCCCGTATCTATCTTTATATAGCCGAAAGCTAGCCGGAGCCGATTGATCCATGCGAGCCAATCAAAGACTACCATGCCACTATCCAAGCGACAGTTTTCACTACCCGAGGATCACTCTCAACGGTTAGAGCAAGTTGATCCAACGACTTCAGTAAGCATTTGAAGCTAATACGTATGATGATTGTTCAGAATCTGATGGACCTAAGACCCACAGGCAAACGAAATCCTACATGAACTTAACGAGGACCCTAAAGCTTATGTACTATCATCATCATCATCAAAGACAACGACGAAACACAACTCAGACCGAAGGGTGATAAGAGCTCGAGACAGTCAGTCGAAAACAATACCAGGTTCCGATTGCAGTGTCCGTCGATTGATGATCAATATGTTTGCATAGGCGCCCAACCGTACTCCAAATCGCATGCCAAGAGACTCAAGAAGAAAGGCAAAGAGCAGGTTGTCGTAGGAGAGCTGCGCCGGACATGGGAGCCTTGGATGAAGTGTTGGCTACTGCTCCTCTTACGACTACTACTACCAACCTCCCCACTAGTCTCCCAACTGGACTCCACCAACACCAACAAAAGCCATCATCAACTGTGCAAAGGAACCCCGCTTCAAAAAAATCGTTGTCTCACAAACAGAAGGCTAAAGTCTTGTCAGTCTTCTTATGATTCTTCTTCTGGATAATTCAGCCGATCTCATATTTCTTGTTGATTTATAGACACGAAGAGTCTATTCGATTGCCCTCGATCTTGAACCACCCGGAGTTCAAGAAGAATCCCTTCGCAGCTATCCGCACTCACATCCAGAACTCATCCGCCTCTTAACACAGCTAGATCACTCTTTTTTTTCCATTGTAATACTTTCCATCGATCTGGTCACCAGCGAGCTTAAAAAAAACTTGTTCTAAAGAAACATTTTCTTCTACTTGAATGGATAAAAGTTCACTCTTCTCTAATGTTACATGTGCATGCGACGGACTTATAATAAAGAGTACAGTTACACGGCCATCATCGAAACTTCAAGAGTTAAGCTTGAGTCAAAGCTATCATTCAAGATTTTGACAGCCTGCAGCATTGCAGAGTGTTAGTTATAAAGTGTTACATATTCAGGGATAAGCATATGTGCTCCAGGAGCCTGACAAGCCCTCGGATTCGGGGGGTCATACTTGGGGGCCCTCCAGGGAGGTTTTATCTTTTTTGGCAAATTCACGCCTTTTCGAGGGTAGGATGCCATTATTGTAGTAGACAGAGGATATCACGAAGGGAGTCCCACAAAAGATACCTATTAATACAACAATTGATATCTCCATTGTAGCTTGAGTGACTTGATGAGCCTGCACAGTCAAGGGGAGATTTTCTGGGTTGGCGCGCGTTGATCACCAGTCGATGGCCATCGTTGGTGGCTGTTGTCGGCTCTTGGGTCTTGTTTTATTGGTTTCTCCCAAATCCAGAATGTACATAATTGTCTGGAAAGCACATGTCCAACTGGCAGCCAGGCCCAGGGCACTTTCAAGTCCCTTCAACATCTTGACTTTACGCGTCCTACATACAATGTATCGGTTATCTGCTCTGTGGGGAGCGGGACGATACTTATCCATCACCGGTCCGAGCATCCGCGAGCATCTAGTGAACAATAGATGTCCATCCGACTTTGCTGCGAAGCGATAGAAGGCTGTGGTCCCGCTCTAAGATACACAGTACAACACTTGATATAAGGCAGACTCGCACTCGACGCATTCCCTTTCTTCTCCACAGCCACCGACAGTCACCTGCGAGTGATTTACAGACTTTGTATATAAGTATCTTTGAGTACGGGCGACGGCTTACAATGAAGATCGGCTGCGGTGAATCGGTCTGATCGCTATATGCAGGCTGGTCCCCTACATAAAAGACTGACTTGCACTCCTCGTCTTGCCTTTGCTTTGTGATAAGTTGGCCGGGGATTTGCCAGATGATCGCTTCAGCCTTCAGTATGTACACTCGTCCCACGTCGCTCTGTTCTCATGAGTCAGCTGCACGCCCACTTCCAAGGCCCTGCTGCTGGCTGCTGCACACAGGACGCGGAGATTGCAGGAGGGTCATGATCACTTCGGCCGCCTAACCTATTTGTGTAACTCGGTCGAGATTTGGCGAATCAACTCAGATGTTTGGGTCGACTCCGAATCGATGAACTTGTTGATTTTGATCAGTATCTGGATCTCTGTTTGTTTTTATGTATGTATCCACTTTATCTATCTTCATCGTCGTCCTGGCCTATATATTGTATCGATCGCTCATCCAAGCAGCCTTTGCAGTCTCCTCACTCACTTCACTTCAATTATGTATGAGGTCTCCTCTATGTTATGTTCTGTTATGTTATGAACCCCAAAATCACTCAATACGTGTCCAGAAATCTATGTACTTCGTTGTTTGTCTGCTTTGTGTATCCTCATATGTATGGGTCCAAACCTCCCTGCCTTTCTGAGGAGCTTGACGAACGATCAAAGCCTGTGTTCTTTTTTCTTTGAGCAGGAGCAGCAGCAGCAGCAGCAGCAGGGTCCCTTCCAAGTACACATCGAATATCATCTGTTGGCCACTTGGCTGGCTTTAATAATGGGGTGTGTCCGTTTGTTTATCCACTCTGATCCGGGGCGGCTCAGCTGTGTTTTTTTCATGTAAATAGTGCAAAAGGAAGAAGAAGAAGATTAGATCCGATTCATTCAGCGGACTCCCAAATGTGTAGATAGACACCCAGCCAGCTCGATTGTCAATCGTTTCTTTCTTTTTTGTTTTGATGATTTTAATTATAATTGGGAGGCTATCCCAGTATGTAGATCTCCTCTGCACAGACAATCGACCAGGAGCTTGGAGCTGGGGGAAGGGAAGGGATGGACGAGACGAGCGAGCTTGCTTGGCCGACCGACGTTTTAGAACTCGAGTATGAAGTGGCAGTCACAGAGATTTGGCTTGGCTTGCAGCATTATGTAGATAATACATGCGCTTCGTCTTTTTCACTCTCTGAAAATAGCCAAGCATTCACCGACACTGTGACGACTGGGATCAACCAGTGGTCCGAAAATCTGGAAGATGGCGGTGTCTTGGATGAAGAGCTGGACAGCGCGGATCGGCTCGTCTTGAGTGTGTCCCCCCGGCTTCCCTCGCGGTAAAACTCTCTTTCCAACTCGATCTCGGTAGCCTGGCCATCCAGACTATCTCGCTTCACTCCGCTGGGCCACTCGTGACCCTGGCTTGCGGTCGGTCTTCTCTCTCTCCCCCTTGCTCGGGCGTCATGACTTCAGTGTATGTTCATCTGTTTCTCATATATCCCATTGATTTCTCCAAGCTCCTCAATGATGACGGTCTAGCCAGGTATGGGCCATGCTCATTTCTTTGCTGCGTGGACATAGCCCCATCGTCATATACTTCATACATACACACCATATTGCTCTTTTCTCGACCATGCCTTCGATCGTCATGTCCGTCGTCCTCAAACCTTTTGTTCAACCGATATTTTGCCCCACTGACGCACGTTTGCGTCTCCAAAACTCGAGAGTTTTCTGACTCACTGAAACCCCCACATAGCAGCCCCCCCCCCCCTGAAGTGCACAGAACCGACTGTTTCCAACCCACGCCTCCCCTGATATATCAATATATATATTGATACATAACTCACAACATCATCGATCCCGTCACCACTGCAAGGACGTTGAAAAGTTGTCAATATATGGATTTAGTGAGATCTTGAGCTCGTCTTTTATGTCCTCGGGAATGGGGGGGGCTGGTGTGTCATCCCCAGCTTGCTGAAGCGATACAATATAGTCTTCCTCCTATATGAGGCTCGATTAAAGTATTTAGCTTTGGGTCTTCATTTCCTCGAATCCCTGTGGGCTCGCTAGACTTTCATGAGCTCCTCCCTTCAACTCCTCTGCTCCTCAACTCTCTCTCTCATCTTTCCGGCAGCTTGTATCGTGCAGGCACACACACACACACACATCACTATATATCTCCTGCCCTTCCGGTTGTCTTCCTCCTCTCCCTAGCTTCTCAAAAAAGATGATATTGGATTCATAGTCTGCCTTATATGTAGTTTCTTTTTGAAAAGGCAGAACACATAGAAATTCTACACTTGCTGTCTTGTTCTCCCTCCTCCAACCCCTTCGTCCTCAGTGGTGCCAATCCGATCTGCGATCCACTTGAGCTCATCTGATTGATTTCCTCTTCTCCTCTTTGTAAACAGTTCCACACCCCACCACCACCACCCAAACCACGAATATTCTCGCAAAAGTAACAACATGCCAGCTCTCACCGCCTACGCTCATCCGCCAGCCCATGCTGGATGGACTTCGCTGAGCTCCAAGCCATCGACGCTCTCCCACACATCCTCCTCATGCTCGGGCTCAGCACTAGCCCCGGCTGCCTCGCCGATCACTCAGATCCCCGGCCGTCCAAGATCAAACATCTCCCGCTTCGAACGCCTCACCAAGCCGCTCTCATCCTCTGCATCCCGTCTAAAGAAAACCAAATCTGCCAACAACTGCCAACTGCCCCAGCAACAGCAACAACAACAACAACAGCCTGATATCATCCTCGCCACTCCTAGACCTCAGCCTGCTGTCAGAGGCATCCTAACCAAACACTCCTCTCTCCTCAACTTATCCCCTCGAGCACAAGCAGTGGTTGAAAGCAGTCCAGGTATGTTGCTGTGTATCTCCGGGACTGCTTGCTTCAAGCTACCTGCAGTGTGAGATTCTCTGTCCAAGGACTGAATTGAATCTCTTCTGATCCCCAGTAGCGGTTGTGCTCGAACCGACGATTGTTGAACCATTATGTCTATTACCATCGAGAGCCCAGATGGTGACCAAGAAGGTGCGATTCTCGGGGAATCCCCAGGATGGGTATGGGCGGAGTATGAGCTCGAGAGGATGTGGGGGCTGTAAGGCTCTCAATCAAGGACACTCGCAGGGCTGCATGGAGGAGGAGGGCTGTCGAAGAGCGCCGGAGCCAGTGATCGAGACGATCTTCCTGACATACTCGCGCTTCGCCTACGACCGCTCGCCGATCGCGGTGGACCGGGTGTTCAACAAGTCGCTTGCGCTTCCGCCCCGGACAGACAACGACGACGATCTGGGCAACGGCCGATGGCGTGCCGATCTACTTCCCCCCTCATTGACCGACAGTCCTATAAGCTTGGAAGACTCTAACAGACTCAAACTCCCCTTCCCGGCCGACCTCGCAGCCGATCTTGAGCCAACGCTCCTCCCTCGACTGTCGCTCTCCCCGGTCTTGCAGGGACCCGCAGACCCTCCTCCGATCTTCGTCGCCGCCCATGAGGGTCCCGAAAGCGCGGCCTCCTGGCAGATCAGCTCGGACCTGTTTGGTCCCACATCTCATTCCGAGGACGGGTCGACCTCTTCGTCGAGTTCGCAAGAGTCTCCCACGACGCCTGCGATCACCGAGCTCATGAGCAAGCCGCCGACGATCTTATACTCCGACCTCTCCCACCTCATCCGACAGCCGCCCTTGGCCACAGCTCCCACTCCTTCTTCAACCACCCCCTTCAGTCTCTCCGTCCAAAACCTCGCCCATCATGCTCTCGCTAATCTTAACCTCAACGAGCACTCGCTTCCGCCGCCTGCTCGACTCGACCACCGTGTCCTCACTTGTCTTCCCCTCGATAACATCCAGCCAAGCTCCGGATTCGGGAATTGGAATCGAGCTCAGGTCTTCGGCTCTTGTGACGCCCTGGACGGCTTCTAAAATCCTATGTACTCTCTCTCTCTCTCTCTTTCTCTCCTCTTGAATCCTCTTTTTTTTTCTTTGTTGGCCCTTTTATCCCCCTCTTTTCATGTGTGTGTTGTGATCTTCTACTCCGGTTTCTTCGTTTGTTTATGTGTATGTGTGTGTGTGTGTTTCCAGCGTTTTCGATCTACTTGATGGTCCCTCCTTGCCACTAAAATGTTGTATTCATCGGCCCCCTTTTCCCTTCTTCCTCCTCCTCTTTTTTTGAGATAAAGAGTTGTGTCTTTGGTCGAGTCGGTCGGGTCTCCTCCAGAGAAGATTCATTCGTTCCGTTTTTTAAGCTTCCTGTCCCCGCTGACCCAACTTATGTAAAAAAATGTCTCAAGTCTTACTTCAGATGGGCTTCTTTTGGGTGGGTGTTTGGTCTTGTAACCGGGGATGGGTGGGCTCCGCTTGTCTTTGGTCTTCTCCTCCCCCCCGCATTGAAAAATAACAATTCAAAAAAAAAACAATAGAAAATGGAATACAGATGATTGCCTTGAGCAATCGAGAGTATATCGGTGTTGTTTTGCTTGAGGGGGTTGGAACTCTTTCTCTCTCCTGGAACTGGCCAGTCATCCGGCAATATATAATTGTGGGATTGCAGAAGAATATGTACCCCTCTTTCTTTCAAAAAAAAAAACAAAATGGTTTGTGCTGGATCATGAGGGCGGGAAACGAGACTGATAAGATGATCAGCGGGCCAAAGAAGTCAGTCGACTGGTTTATGTACCCTAATCAATCGGCTGGAATTCAGAGAAGTTGCTCTGAGCATTGAAAGCGTGTTGACTTGTGCCCTAATAAAAGAGTCCCGCTGCCAGCTTCTTCCATCTTCGTTGTATCCTGATGGTGGTCATGTTCTGGGGCTTGTATGTACTGGCACTGCTCTGGGCGGCGAAGGCCGAAGAAGATCGGCAAACTCGGTCGGTTCAGAAAACAAGCCTCAGCCCCAACGCCAATGTTCTTGATCTTAAAAACACAGCACATAGCCACCCACATCGGTATCTTCTCTTTCCTCCATCCGGTCTCGCTTGTGCAACAGTATAAGGAGCGCTCTCAAAGAGGCTGGTTTGTAGATACACGCATCATCAATCTCAAGAGCCATTAACAAATCATCCTCATTTCACACAGACTACATAAGAAAACCGCATTCCATCATCATGAAGTTTTTGTCCAGTTGTTCGGTTGGTCTCGGCCTGTTCAACTCGGCCCTCTGTGGGACCGGATCCTCGACCTCCAAGGTGACCATCGATAAAGTGATCGCCTACCGTCAACCTATTGACCCTAACCACAAAGGTTTCGGTGAGCTCGAGCCCCCTTGATCAATCCCTCATATATATATTTTTTCCGGATTCTGGATGGCTTCTAGAAAAAAAGAAATCTAATCTAATATGGGGACTGATCATCGTGTTCTTCTTGTCTTTATCTTAGTCGTCAATGACTTTGGACTCATGGACACCGGCTCGCTCTGCGATAGCTGCGAAAACTTCTTCGGTATGGTCGATTGATCCCGTCTGTTGTCGTTCTTTCTTTCCTGGACTTGGGACCAACTAACCCCCCCCCCCCCAAAAAAAAAAAAAAAATCATTCGCCTGTTTCGTTCGATGATTGATGATGGCCTGGTTTTGTAATAGTTGCCGAAGACTGCATCGCTGCAAACGGCAAGAAAATCAACCAGGTGTGCGACCAAGCTTACAGAAAAGGCCACGGAGATGACGCCGGTACGTGCTCTCCTCACATCGATCGGTGGTTTCTGCGGTCCTGGATTCTTAAGTGCGATACATGTTTGTTGACTTTTCATCCGTTTTGCTTTTGGCCGGTTTTCGTCGCCGACAGATTGTCGATCCGGCGACCACACCTTTAAGTGTAGCAGCAAAATCGTGCCCGGAAAACGTGAGCTTCCAAGCCTCATCATACTTATAGCTCTGGCACGTTTCCCATTTTCCTTAACAACTAATGTGACAATCGGAATTCGACTTCCATTCGGTGTAGCCATGATCTGCCACGGATGTGTGGTATAAACACCCCTTCTCTCGACACTTGGATTGTAAAAGCCCACCATCCATTATGGTTGTTTGTCGCGCTTTCCTCAGACTCATTCCCATCGCTGGAGTGGCACGGACCTTTCCTGTTTTTCTCTCTCTGTAGACTGGATTGCTTGAACGGAATCATACTAGGAATTTCTTCTCCTGTTTGAGCTTCAATCGTCTCTATCTTGTATGTACATAGTCTTGAGCAAAGCTACAATGTTTTTTTTTTTTTTTTTTTTTTTTTGTAGGAAATATTACTTGACCAGACCTACCATGAACATGTGCTGCAATCGAGCTTTTTTCTTTGCGCGTGTCCATCATCTCATGCTCGTCCACATTGAGGAACAAAATTAGTCGATTTCTCTGGACTTGGCAATCCCCCCCCCCCCCTACACATGTAGATGAGGATTTTCTGTTGCAAAAATGTTTGCCTTCTGAAGTTTTTTTTTTTTTTTTTTTTTTTTTTTTTTTGATGATGAGTTTGTACGATGATGATGAAAGCCTAATAATGCATGATCCGAATCCTCGGGGTTATCTCTGTCAAGTCTGACAGATGGGTCCCGGCTCTTGATGTATAGCCGGGACTCGCAACGGTGGCAGATTTTGGGCTTTGATCGCCTCTTCAGATGTCGCTGAGAAGGCCTCTTTGGTGAACTTCTTCTTCAGCGCACAAACTTGGGTCATCCTGCACACCCGGAGGCCTTGGCTCAGACTATTAGCAACCTTGACATCTCGGGGTATACCGCTGTCAGGTCCTCCAAACGGAGTTGCCCAAAATAAAACTCGCAACGCTGCACATTTCGATCGGCTGCTCATGACTCGAATCCAACCATGACCAGCATTTCAGAAAATTCCTTGGTTTGGATGTCGCATATCGATAAGGATTGTTAACCAATGGTTATATGGTTTGTGAATCAGTCGCCCTTCAACTTTGCTCGCGATCGATCGGATGGTTTGTGTACTCAACCCAGGATCAATTTGGGACACCCTTCCAAGCCAGAAAGCATACAATTAATGAGGTACATCGATCCGAATCCATTAGAGAGTGGGCAAACTCGCAGATTTCTTATTGGAGACTCAGAGAACAAAAACATCATCATGCCGATCCTGGTGGAAGCAACATGGACGCGCGTTTTTTTTCGTTCCAAAAAAAGGAAATTGATTTCACTGGTCTGGGGTGTCTGTCCATGAGTCAAACAGCCCGAAGCCCATAATAAAGTAGAAAGGAAAACAAGTGTTCTTTAGGACGACGAAGAGAGACCCCGCGGTTCTTTTGGCAAGGAGTTCGACGGCGAAAGGAGAGCTTGTTCTACGCGATGGGGAGACACGCGTGGCAGACGGGGACTGTACGAAAGATCCGAGTCAGTTTGTTGAGAGTTCGGGGAAGGATGATGATAGATATATAATGGTGGAAGGGTGAACAAGATAGAGTAGAGAGCTTACTCTTGGATCCGTCCTTTCGGTCGGAGCAATTAAAGTCCCCGGAGGACCTGGTCTGGCAGCTGGTTGGTTGAGCTGGATGGGGTGCGAAGGAGGTGAGTCAGCGCGTCCACAGAGCCAGATCTTTGAAGAGGATAGATCCCACTCACTCTTGGGGTCCTTAGCTGGCAGATAAGCCTTGTCGCAGCTCACCGAGGCCGGGGCGACGTTGGCATCGTTGTGGACGGGTTTGCAGTCCTGGGCGACTGGACATAGGATAAGCGTGTCATCAATATCCTCGTCGGCTCGTCTCCAAACGTGTGGGCAATTATATTCAACTCTTCTCGGAAGACTTACTGACAAACATCTCGCAAGTTGAACAGGACATAGGATTGTACTTGGGACCGAGATTCTGGTTGATGACTGTATCCGACCCCAAACACGATTGTTTCAGAGTGTATATCTCTCAGTTCTCATCCTGATCAACAAGCAGCAAAACAAAAAAGGTGTTTCAGAAGAGAAGCTTACGCCAAGAGTGAGTGTTATCTTGGCTGCTTTTGACGAGGGAGTAGTTGACGGGGCGGATGATCTGGGGCTGGGTGGAGACCGACTTGGCTTGGCTCAAAGCGACCAAGCCGAAGATAACCAAGCAGCTGAAGAAGTCGTTCATATTGAGCAGTGAAGTTTGATGGATCGGTTTGTTTTGTTTTGTTTTGTTTTGTTGCGGTGGAGGGGTTGCGAGTGCTGGATGGTTCTGAGGGAAACGGGTGAAGATGGACTCGGGTTTTATAATCGTCCAGCTCTCTTCAGTCATGATTTCCTATGCAGAGTCCTAGAACATACTCGTACACATCTATACGTACCACGTCATAGCTCCACCACATCTGGCCTCTATACATATTGCCGGTATTTCCTCTTTGTATGGGGGCAGATCTCGTGGCGGTTAAAGGCAATACGCCGCCACAGTGTGTCACAGAGCAAAACCGCCCCCTTCTACAGCCCCTTCTACAACATAAAAGATGGATGTACAGCTACAGTATCAAGTGTCGTCCCTTGAGATTTGCGGAGACCAACGCGTCATCCATCGCGATGATTCTCTTCCGGCCAGCCGGGTCTGCCGAGGTCCTCTGCCCGGATCCTCCGCCGTGAGGCTTTCATACAACGCGCGTTAATGGCTCTCGACCGTTCTCACTTTGAATATTGTGATTTGATTCATATATAACTGCAAGCCTCGCTAGTCGTACAATGTGAGGCCGGTCGGATCGCGTATTGTAACATAAAGCGTTAAAATGCAAAGTGTTATTATGAGATCAGCGAGCGTCCGGACCCCCGGACCTACTCTGGAGTCTGCATGTGAAGGAGGTTTTTGGATCCTTCTTGTTTTTTTTTGTGCGGCCAGAAGGGCCAAACGTTGGTGTTTTTTCCCTTGTAAAGACCATCCAAGCCTCTTCAGATAGACGATAGCCAGAGGCTGCTCAAGATTCGAGTGTGCTCGCCGGTTGCTTGGTTGAACCAACAACATGGGCTGTGCTCTTGCGATATAATAAATGTAAAAGCCTGCGGCTTAAGATTGTGCATACCGGCCAGCCGCCGCCCAGCCCGCCAAAGAGAGAGAGAGAAGGAGAGAGGGCTTCTAGGGACTTCTGCAGCTTGTCATGTTCCGGCCGGCCGCTGGCCCGACACCGTACGTACGTGACGTCCATAGGGCTGTGTCGCGGTACAACACATCATGAATTGAATGTGTTGATTATAAAGCTGTCCCGATGAGCATCGCGTTGGCTGTGATGATGAATTGGCGAATTGTATTCCGGCTCGAATCTGGACTCCAAACTGGCTCGGTCGGTCTGGGCCCTGAAGCGTTGGAATCCGGAGACCTGGACCTGGCTCGTTACCGACTCAATTGTGTAGAAGGTTGCAGTGTAGATCAGGGGATTTCGGAGTATGTATGGTATTTGCGGTGAGCATTATGTATTGTTGCTGAGTCCGTTCAAGCTATCTATCCTCCACCCACCGGGCATCGCGTTGAATCCCGAAATGATGATGAAGAGAACCGGTGACTGGTGAGGTTGACCTACCCCATAAGACATCTTGGACAATACGATCGCAACCCTCCCTTGTTTGTTCTGTGTATCGTAAGATCCATCGGTCGCAGTGTTTGAAATCCTGTTTTTGGAGGGCTCATGTCGGTGCTTCGTAGAACAAGTACACAAATGAACACGATCGATTAAAGCTGCCCTCAATGGTAAATTTACAATGTTTGTTTGCGAGTCGTTTGAAGAATGTTTGTCTCTGGAGTGGAAGGTTCAAGCAGCTGATGCTTAACCCTGTTCTGACATTCTGTGTTTGGTGGGATTGACGATGCTTGAATTTGCCGGGTATTTTGACTGGCTGCACTAGCACTGGGGGGATGGTTTGCCAAGAACGACTCCCCATCAAAGGGGGTAGTACCTCTTCTCCTCTGGGCTGCTATGTACTACCTCACCCGATTAGCATTCTCTGTTCGGAATCCGGATGAGATGAGATGCAGTCTGGAATCCGTTCACCGAGCCTTCCTGGTTGTAGAATCGATAGCAAATGGCTATCCTTTCTTGAAGAGCGTATGTAGTATGTACCCTGTTTCCTCATGCCGGTGGGTGGTGTGTCCTGACCATGCTTATCGTTTTCCCCACTGGATAGCCACGAGATCATAGTCCATGCATACATCCTAGTCTTGTACTGTCCATCTACACCAGCATACAGGGCAAGAGGGGTAAATATTCTCTAATTTCCAGAATCCAATCTACCAAACAACTTCTTATCAGTTTGCTTATCAGGCTCCTTTCTTTCTTCTGCGGCCTGCCATTGTGGCCATCGCTCTCAGACCTCATCTTTTGCCCAACTTTCCCCCTCCAGGACGTGTGGGCCCCCTTGTGACTTGTGTTCGGTCTTCGTCGGTCCAACGGCATCGGCTGTTTGACGCATGTAAAGACCTGTTGTGCCAGGCTTTCGACCTCTTTCGTCTGCCACTGCCAGTGTCAACCAACCCCTTTCAAGTCATCAGATTCCGCTGGAATCTGCTTCAAACCGCCCCATCCGAATCAGAACTCATCTCTCTTCAACACCTCTGCAACTGAGTATGTACGGTTCGTTCTGAAGGCCAGAGCGAGCAGTCTGGGCTGAAATGAAGATTGTGGACTCTTATCGACAGTCGCATCGACCCCGGGATCGAACGTCATCATCGGAGTAGGACCGGATGGATTCTCAAACGAATGGGTGAGTATCTTCTTATCTATTAAATGGGCTTGATAGGGGAAACCTTGCTTGGGTCTCTCTGTAAAATCCCAAGATGAACCGCTCTCAATCTAACTGATCGCTGCATTGGTCTGATCGCAGATGGATACCGTCGCCACCAGGATTGCCGGGTTCTCGCTGGGCCTCTACCGAGTGTATGCACCCTTTCATGTTGCTCAATACATGCAAGCATACTTAAGCTCACTCTCAGAGCGATCTTTTCTACCCATGTACAGGAAACGATCAAGCATCCGCTCAAGCAATCTGATTGATAACTCTCCGTTTCAGGAACCTGCAACAAAAGGAAAGAAGACAAACCAAAAGAAAAAAAAAGAAAGAAAGAAAGAAACAATCCCATTAGGATGAATATACACCATACCCAAGCTCCATAAACTATCATCATCAGACTTTACATTCAGAACGTAACCGCCCACTATTGCCTCCCGAAAGTAGACATCCTCCAATCTTCAAAACGTCCAATTCAGCTTTCCCCATTAAACTCTAAACCAAACAACCGACACTCTCATCCAGCATGGCAACCATCGAAGACCTCAGACAGAAGCCAGGCTCCCTCTTCAACCCAGAAGACAATACCTCACCCCTTCTACTAACCAACACGCACTTACTCCCCAAGAAGATCCCCAACTCCAAGGAACGAAGCTTAACATCTGCAAGAGCTCCTCAACTGGTCTCACTTCGCCAAGCCTATAGTAACCCCTGGGGTGTCAACATTCCACCGCTTCGCCAAGCTGCTCTTCAATCCTCCTCGCCATCTCCTTCCCCGCCATCTTCATCGCCATCCTCATCATTCTCTTCCGCCTTCAAGCTCAGTCACTTCAAATCTCTTTCTCGTCTGTCCGTCTCAAGCTTAGATAACCCAGCTCATCAAGAACGTCAAGAACAGAGCCATCTGGCATCTGGTCCAGAATTAATCAAAATCCCCGAACAATCCCTCCCTTCCTCAACTACGAATTCTGAAATTGACCGCAAGAATGATAATCTCAAGAATCTACTCATGGCGAATATCCACAGGTCTTCTCGTGATTCCCCCGCTGCCCTCAATCAATCCCCTGATCTTAATTTCAAGTACCCAACGTCACCCAGCCCAGCCAAATCCATCACCACCCAATCCATTGCTCACATGACTTCACTCGTCAATCCAATCTCGTCTCAGTCAATCATATCAGCAGACTTGCTGCCCTCTCTCCATAAAGTCCAGTCGACACCGAGGTCGATTTGCTCGCCGTTCTCTTTGGTTGGTTCACCTCAACTGGCCTCAGAACCCTCATTATCTCCTCATTCTAGTCAGAGTCAACTTCCAGTCTCCGACAAGTCGCCCACTCCGCCCTCTTCGCCTCCCACCACGCGCTCGTCCCCATCGAACTGCCAGACCTGTCGCTTCCCGCTCTCACGCGCCTCCTCGGAATCTTCATTCCTCCTCGGCCTATCCTACCGCTCTCCGCTGTTCGATGACTTCGATGAAGAGGGTCTTCCGGGCCATCCGCATGAGTCCTCCTCCAACCACGAGCCTCCGTTTGCCGATGAACGCGATCAAGTCAGCCGTCAACCCAGCTTTTGCTCTTCCAGCCCAGACTCCTCTCATCCCCTCAACACCTGGTGGTCCGACCTCCCACCCCATCGACGTGCACACATCATCGAGGCCGAGTCCTGGCCGATCTTTACCCCCAGCGCTCCCGTGCCTATCCTTGGTAGCCCCATGAGTGGTCACTGCGCTTGTTCATCCGACCTTTCAACCTCCGACGATAACCTGAGAGACCCCTCCAAACACTCTCAAGACTCTTCTCATCCTAGCTCGACTCCTTCCAGTGGCTCCCGTCCTTCACTGTCGACCAACCTCAATTTGCTGATTCCTACACCGCTTGAACAGGACGAGACGGACCCTTTGCTCTCAGCTCATCCTCCCAAACTCGACTCCTTTCCTTCCTCCACCAGCATCGAAACCACTACCCCCGGAAATGAGGCTTGTGAGACCGAATCTAGCTCTCAGCCGACGCGCAAGAAAAAACGTCGCGGCGAGGAATCCGCGCCGAAATCCTCGGAAAGCTTGTTGACGAAATCCTTGAGAAGATTGAGTCGGAAGTTGCCGAACATTCAATGGGGAAACCTGAGTGTTCGAATGCACACCAACGAAGGGGCCAAGGTGGGCGATCATGAGATTGACGAGGAAGGAGGACCCGGCGAAGAGGAGAACGTGCTCCCGTCGGGCGTCGTCGACGATCAGGACTCCTCCGTCATCCTCGCTGGCGATGAAGAACAGGCTCAGATCTCTCGCCTCGTTAAGTCTTGGACTTCGGATAATATCCAGCCTCAGAACTCGCTCAATGGAAGCTTTATCGTCGACCCTGAAATGGAATGGTATGTTGTCTTTCATTGTTCTGAAGATAACTCCTGTTACTTATCCCTGAAATCATTGTTGGGTTTTTCGTATCAGGTCTTCCATGATGGTTCAATTGGAAACCTTCTCGCCTAACTCGAACAAGAAGCCGCACAAGCTACGAACACAAACCGAACGGACGCTGCCGCGGAACATGCGTGGGGAGCAACAACACTCGCGACGAAGCGACTCGACGTCGATGGGTGGTCGAAATATGGGCGGGGAGCGTCGGCGCAGTGTGGATGGAGAGGATGAGTCTTTGGCTCCCTCGGGCCAAGACCCTCAACCGACGAAACGCTCGCAGAGTCGGAAACGACTCTCCCGCAACCAAGCCCTCAAACAACAACATCATTCTCCGAATCATCATCACCAAGACCGAAGGGGCCAGCAGGAACGCAAACTCTCCGTCAAAATCACCCGCAGAGTCGTCTCTAATCCGCTCCATTTACTCCAGCTCTCCCTCGAACTCGAAATGATGCGCAAGTTCAAAATCAAGTCGCCGCTTAAACAACGCTCCATGAAACTCATCCTCACTAAACTTCCCCCCTCCTCTTCCTCCTCCTCCTCGTCGGCCATCGGTAATCATATTGAGTTCGAGTATGTTCGTAGTCCACTCAGGTTCGAAATTTGACCCCCGCGCTGCTCTCCTCGGCTGTCCGGTCTCTTCTGATCCTTTACCCTCTTTTTCGTTTTTTTCCCGATGTACTTCATTGTTGTACCATCTTACAACACTCGACATTCCTTCTATATATATCTATCTATGTGCTTCTCACTTATGTGTGTATCTATTACATCTCATCTCATCTCGTTTTTTTTTTCTTCACGCACACACCTTTTTTTTGCTTCTTCGCATCGTCGTTCTTTCTCTTTCAACTCGATCCATCTCTTCCATTCTATTCCACTCTCATACACTTACTCACACTCAGACACACCTCTTACATATATGCTTATTTGATCGATCTTTCCTTTCCCCCCTTTTTTTTTCTCCGGTTTTTTTGGTTTTATTAGTAGTACACCTTATACTTCTTTGCTTCATACTATCTTTTTTTATGTTCTGGATATAATTTACTATCAATATTGGCCAAGAAAAAAAACCACAATAGATAATAGTAATATATTGAATGATTTTCCACATCAGTACTTTATAACTTCCTTTTTCTCTGTCTCTCCCTGTGTTTTATGTTTATGTTTCAGTTTTTGTTTTTCTTTTTTAGTTTTTGTTTTTCTTTTCAGTTTTTGGTTGGTTGTTATTTCTGGTTGGTTGTTATTTTTTGAGGTCGTTTTGGATAGTGCAGTTCGGTGCTGAAGTGATGGTCATTAAACAAAGAATACATGTATTCTTATTTTTTTTATTAGTCTATATAATTGGTGTCTTTCCTCTGCTTGCTTTCTACAGCCCATGAAGCTGATACATACTGGCTCCTTTTCTTTGTCTTTTTTTGTTGTTGTTTAATCTTCAATTTAAAAGTCACCTTTTTGGTTTGAATTTTTCTTCTGCTATTTGTCATTGTCATTGATGATGTTGATGAACTCCTAGGAACAAAGAGTGAGAGAAAAGATCAAAGATAGATGAATTTAGACAGTTCATGACAGTTAATAGGGGGTGCAGTACTGACAGAGCCTGGACCCTCCACCTGGATTTATGGTGACTGGCAGGGCAAGGGCCTGTTTTTTTTGAAAGTGTGATAGTCTACAGGTACCCCCAACAGGGGCCAAGTGTGATTGCCTCCAAAGCAATGACCCAGATCTTGGATGTGGTGAGACTGGTTCACATAGAGAATTTGGTTGGGTGGGTGGATCTCACAGTAATGGTGTCAGCCGCCGTGATGCCAAGGAGTATCCCTTCTAGCTACACGTGGTGCAAAACTTAAGATGTTAGAGTTAGAACTCTAGGACTAAAGAGTCCAGGTGGCAATTCCAATGATGAATGGTAATTACAAGGTTATGAGATAGTACAAAGTAATAATTATATCAATAAATATTGATATAATTTAAACAGAGGGGCCTGATAAATCAGGGGTTGTTTAATCCCTCAAAGGTATCGTGTAGAGATGTCGCTCGATACCCGGGTACCTGTAGCGGGTGCGGGTACCTGCCTCAAAAATCCAATATTTTTGACACCCGCACCCGCACCCGCACCTGCTAGGGCCGCCAGGGCGGGTACCCGGGTACCTGCGCCGGGTACCTGGCACATTTTTGCAGGCAAATCTACCCAGAAATCTCACCCTTGAATTTCTGCAAGACTTGGTAAATATAAGATTGATATTCACTAGATATATGAGTAAGAATAAAATAAAAATAAAGAAATAAAGAAAAACAAATTATTCTATCACCAATTTGAATTTTATCTTCTCTCTGATCTATCTTTAGCTTTACCCTTTTGCTTGGCCTCATTTGCCTTATTCAATGTCCACTGATGAAGACTGTACACCGTCTTTATGACTGGAGGAATTCCTCCAGTCATCAAGACTGTACACCATCTCAAAGGCAGGGAACCCTCAGCCATCAACAAAGCAACCAGATTAGTTCAGCAACACATGTAAGACACCAGCTGGTGTCCTACATGGGTTGCTGACACCTTTGTGCAGCCCAACACACCCAAAAGAGGGAGTGTTGGACCACCAATGATAAATTAAATTCTTCAGGGGAAGCATTCCCAGGGCAGTGTAAGGCAGGTACCCGGGTACCTGCCTTTTTTTACCGCAAATGTTGACACCCGCACCCGCACCCGCACCTGTTTTTACTGCAAATGTTGACACCTGCACCCACACCCGGTACCTGTCTCCGGGTACCTGCTTTGGAAAACAGGTACCCGCAAACGGGTACCGGGTACCTGCAAACGGGTACCGGGTACCTGCAAACGGGTACCTGCTGACATCTCTAGTATCGTGCAAAAGCAGAGGATTTAGGTACCTGATAACACTGGGGCCTGGTTACAGGTGTGGTTTAAATCCCAGAAGAAAGTAGTAAAAATCTCAAGAAAGAAGGGGGCATTATGTACTAATAAAGCCCCTTAAGTCTTGAGGTTCTGATAGACAGAGAATTAAAGCAAGAGACAATACATTACCAGACAGATACAAATTTTGGGGCTTGGTTAAACAACTCCCAAAAAGTGGAGAGCCGACTCCCAAGCCCCGGAATCCCCAAATTTTGGGAGTCAAACCCCCAAAACCTTAGACTGGTTTGGGAGTCGACTCCCAAAAAAAATATTTAAAAAAAAACCATCCCCCGGTCATTTTAGGAGTCGATCCTCCAAAACCGACCAGGGCTTGGGGGTTGACAAAGCAAAAGACCCACCAAAGCGGCCAGGAGGGAATCTTCCCGGCCGCTGGGAGTACACTCCCGACGGCCCAAGGGAAAACACCTTGGGCCGCTGAGAGTACACTCTCGATGGCCGAAGATGTACCTCTCATGTTGAGGGGGAA